TTGTTTTCGTTTTTTTTTTTGTATTGAAGTGACAGAGTAATATGCATCTAGTTCATTGCTCTAGTGAGATACCGTGACTTTTTTAAGAATGTCACTTTTTCACATTCTCTTTAAACAAACACGTTTCATGCATCAATGCAATTGATTCAAAGTTTTTCTATTGCATATATATCACAAGAAAACAGTGCTTGAATTGCTATGTTCAAATTTTCAAAAAATGCACATGTATGCATCTAGTTAATTGTTCCAATGATATGATATGACTTTTTATTGAAAAAAGTGACATTTTGTCACTTTTTCTTAGAAAAGTGACAGAATCACATTCTCCTTAAGCAAAAGCCTTACATGCACCAATGTAATTAGTTCAAAATTTTCTTTTTTACATGTATTACCAGAAAACAGGAATTGAATTGATATATTCAAATTTTCAAAAAATACAAACGTAATCACGTATACATTTACTTAATTGCTCCAATGATATGGTAATGGTATGACTTTTTTTTGAAAAAAGTGATAAAATGTCACACTCTCCATGAGCAAACACCTTGCACTCATCCATGTACTCGATTCAAAGTTTTCTTTTTCATATATATTACCAGAGAACAGAACATGAATTATTATGTTCAAACTTTCAAAAAAGCACACGTATGCATCAAGTTAATTATTCCAATGAGAAATAGTGATTGTTTTGGAGAAAAGTCACAGAGAATATCACTTTTTTGTCGAAAAGTGACATAAAGTCACTTTTTTGGAGAAAAGTGATAGAATGTCAATCTTCATGAGCAAACACTTTACATGCATCCATGTAAGTAAATCAAAGTTTTCTTTTTCATATATACTACTAGAAAACAGGCCATTAATTAGTATGTTCAAACTTTCAAAAATGCACATGTATACATCAGGTTAATTACTCCAATGATAAAACGTAACTATTTTGGAAAAAAGTGACAGAATGCCACTTTTCGTAGAAAAGTGACACAATGTCACTTTTTTTGAGAAAAAGTGATAGAATGTCACACTCTCCATGAGCAAACATCTTACACGCATCCATGTAACGGATTCAAAGTTTTTTTTTCTTTTCATATGTATTGCTAGAAAACAGGGTATGAATTGATATGTTCAAACTTTCAGAAAAGCACACGTATGCATTCAGTTAATTGCTCCAATGATAAAGTGTGACTGTTTTGGAGAAAGGTCACAGAATGTCACTTTTTCATAAAAAAGTGACACAATGTCACTTTTTTTTTAAGAAAAGTAGTGACAGAATGTCGCCCTCTCCATGTGCAAACACATTGCACACATTCAAGTAATTGATTCAAAGTTTTCATTTTCATATGTATTATCAGATAACAGGAAATGAATTGGTATGTTTAAACTTTCAAAAAAGCACACGTATGCATCTGGTTAATTGTTCCAATGATAGAGGGTGACTGTTCTTGTAGAAAGGTAACGAATGTCACTTTTTCGTTGAAAAGTGACACAATGTCACTCTTCATGATCAAACATCTTGCAAGCATCCATGTAGTCGATTCAAAGTTTTCTTTTTCATATGTATTACTAAAAAACAAGGTATGAATTGGTATATTCAAACTTTTAAAAAAGCATACGTATGCATCCGATTAATTTCTCCAATGATAAATGGTGACTGTTTTGGAGAAAGGTCACAAAATGTCACTTTTCCTAAGAAAAGTGACAAAATTCCACTTTCTCACCTTCTCCTATGAGCAAACACATTACTAGCATCAATGCAATTGATTCAAAGTTTTCTTTCTCATGTGTATTACCAAAAAATATAGCTTGAATATATATATTCAAATTTCCAAAAACTCACACATGCATATCTAGCTAATTGCTTAAGAGAGATGCTGTGACTTTTTTTGAGAAAAGTGACAGAATGCCACTTTCTCACATTTTCCTTTGAGCAAACATATTGTAAGCATCAATGCAATTGGTTTAAAGTTTTCTTTCTAATGTGTATTACTAGAAAATAGATCTTGAATATGTACGTTCAAATTTTCAAAAACTCACACATGCATACCTAGTTAATTACTCAAAAGAGATGCTGTGACTTTTTTTTAGAAAGGTGACAAAACTCCACTTTCTTACCTTCTCCTTTGAGCAAACATATTGCAAGCATCAATGCAATTTGTTTAAAGTTTTCTTTCTCATGTGTATTACCAGAAAATATGGCTTAAATTATGTACGTTCAAATTTTCAAAAACTCACACTTGTATACTTAGCTAATTGCTTAAAAGAGATGCTGTGATTTATTTATTTTTTTAAAAAAGTGATAGAATGTCATTTTTTCACATTATCTTTTTGTCAAACACCTTGCAAGTATCAATGTAATTGATTCAAAACTAATTTTTCATATGTATTGACACAATCCACTTAATTTCAACAATTTTATTTTCATACATGTTTCCAATCAAATTAATAAAATCGTCAAAAAGAAACTACATAAATGTTAATTATACATTATGAGATTTAAATTAAATCTAATCATGAAATTCAAACAAAAATGAGATGGATAATGAGTTATAATCATGGAATCCAAAATATAGAAATACCTGTAATTTTGTTTGTGTTTTTGTGGAAGATCTGCTCGACTTTTTTTTCCAGATTTTCAATGTTTTTGTGGATGGTTTCCTCGATTTGAAGAATGAACAAACTTTGTTTATGTATTTGTGGAAGATTTCCTCTTTTTCCTTTCAATTTTCCTTTGATTTTTGCATATTGGAGGCTGATTTATGAAGATTGTCGTGAGTTTAGGTTTTGAGCATATATTTTACGTTCAATTTTAAGTAATTATCATTTAATCCAAGTTTATAATATTTTTTCAAAATAACCCAAAAACATAGGGTATTTTTGTAAGTACCCCAAATATAAAAATAGAAGATTTTATTATAAATTTTTCATATTTCGATAGGGCGATGGGGACCCACTTGCCTCTGCCTTACCTGCCCTCTTTGAATCTCGGCTTGAGTCCATATTTCATCAGGAACCGTGCTGCATGTACATACGCCTCTGCCAAACAACACACATGGCGGACCTTGAAGTAATTTTTTTTTAACATGTGGGGTTGCCCCTACGGTGAGGGGTCGGTAAGACCCCTGTAGGAAAACAGGACATTTTCCTTTTATCAGTCAAGCTTTGGTGTATACTCTATTTGACATTTTTTTGTGTCAAGCTATTTTCTTGTTGGATACATTTTTGTCAAACACATTGTTCCGTAAACAAAAATTTCTAAGTTAATATATAAAGGAAAATTTTCATAAGTAAGAATTTAAGTATCACATATTTCAAAATTAAGAAAATAAGTTTCAAAATTCAAAAATCAGATTCTTATTAAAATTTATTTATGATTTAATTAGTTAATTAATTATTTTATTAATTAAATATATTTAGGTCACGGATCTATACAATTTGGTCACAAATTAACAATATAATTATTTACTTATTATTTTTTGGTCACAAATCAAAAATTTTATGCCACAAATTTTTTTACAATCACAATTCAAAAATTTTGTAAGTCACAATTTGTTTATTGGTCACAAATAAAAAAATAATTAGTCATAGATTAATTTTTACTCACGACTTATCATATTATTGGTTACAACTTATTTTTCAGTCACAAATTAAAAATTTTATAGGTTGCATATTGTTTTTCGGTCACGAATCAAAAATTTTATATGTCACAGATTAATTTCTCGGTCACAACTCAATAAATTATAAGTTATAAACACAATTTTTAGGTCACGTATTATTTATTTATTACAAATTAACCAATTATTGGCCACATTCAACTTATTAGTTGGTCACANGTATTATTTATTTATTACAAATTAACCAATTATTGGCCACATTCAACTTATTAGTTGGTCACAACACATGTGACCACCATTTAGCCACTTCTTGCAATAGCCCACCTCCACCGCTATCGTCGTCGTCATAACTACTTTCTTATTGGTATCATATTGTTTATTGGTCACATATTAAACAATTTAATAGTCACAAATAACAAAATAAGTTGTGACCACCATCAACACTTGCGACAACCATCACCTCCAATAGCATCACTGCCACCATCACCACCAGAACTAACACCATCACTGACAGCAACAACTCGCAAAAAACAGACCACCAAAATAGCGTCACCCATGCCACCAACACAGTGACAGAAACCAACCACCACAACCCATGCCAAAACCACCACAACTACTGCCAGATCTGACCAATATCACAACCACCGACTGCCCAAAACCACCACCACAGTGACCATCAGATCGCGTAACCCACGCCATCCCACACACAAACCTCGGCCACAAATACCACTACCATCGTCGACCGCTCACAGTAGATCGAATAAAAAAACTCCCAAAAAATCAACCACCAGATTCACCCATGCTACCCCACACACATACCACCCACCACAACAACCACCTCTGCTACCTGCCACCGCATAGTAGGTCCAATAAAAAAACTCCCAACAAAAATTGAGGCGACACTGCAGATCGGCGCTTCACATCGCTGTGCCGCCATCGCTACCTAACATCGTAGCACCACCCACTGCTTCACATAGCGATGAGGTTGGATTGCTACAGATTGCTGCAACCGCTAGTGCGAGGGACTTGCACCAACCACATCTTCACATTGAGATGAGGCTTGACTGGTTCAACGTCGTCGACGGTGGTGCGATGGAGGAGAGCAACATCGCGATGAGGGATGAGTGGCAGCGACGCGAGGAGGAAAGAAGATGAAGAGAGGCAGAAAATGGTTCTAGGGTTGGGGTGAAAATTATGTATTTAATTTTTAACCTATACTTATGATATTTTTGATTTTCGAAGAGTGAAAGTTCCCAT